CTCTCGGTGATTAAAGATATGCTGCGCGCGATGTTTCAATCGCGGTAATCCAAAATCATGGTGTAAGAGCGCGACCAGCGGAACGATGGACATAATCTGACGCCAGGCGCCCAGGGCCGGGAATGTGCCGTCCGAGCGGTCACACTCTGTCCGAGCAAAACAGAGTTCGAGCGGCCATATTCGCTTCTTACATCTTTCTACATGATCATTATCTACATTTAGCTCTTACGCGCTTATTAAAACCATATACCAATGATTAAAACTGTTTCTCACTACCAACGCTTGGGGATTATTTTCGACTTCTGGTTGGTCAAGAGAGCATGTCAAGCCTTCTTTCTGCGTCTGGAGCACGCCCTGACTTTGCCCGCTCCTCCCATTGACCAAACTCTATCTAAACATGACTCTGGCAGTGCCGCCTGCCTTCTTTGAACTAAGGTTGTGGCCAACGTTGGGTAAGGTCAGTCTGTAAGCCAGGAACCTGGCCACCACCTTGTCTCTTCTAGCGTTGGCAAGCACGTTCAATTGAAAGCTTGCCAAAGTTATCTTCACGCGCATATTACACGTGCTTCCACGCATGGGAATCGACCGAAACGCAATACATATGTTAAGGCTTGTCCGATTTACCAGCACCGGTTCAGAGCTGTGTGGGGCACTGGGCAGTGTACTTCCGGTTTGTGCATTGAGATACGACCGAAAGTACACAGCCCTACACTTTTCTGCACCGGTGCAGGATGTAAAGGTAAATCGAACGAGCCTAATTTAATCTAAATCCTAAGACGCAAAGAAATTGAATAAAATACCAACTTTTTTGTCATTTCCTTTTATCCGTGTTTTGTGGCTTAAGTTATAAGGATTGTTAACCTTATAGCTCGCCTCCATACTTTAACTTTCTTGTAATCCATAGATTGCAAAGCGTAATGTAAGGGTTATTGACAAAAGAAGGATTAAGTCTAAAAACTCAGACCTGTGATATGAGTATGGGCGAACGAAAATGAAACAAAACTTTTGGTGGTGGGCATAATAAAAGCCTTATACTTTTCCTGATGTAACATGTGTGCTATAGTTGGTTTGTGCTTATGTTACCGAAGCCGAAGCGTTGCTAAGTACGATGTTTGCATTCCAGATGCGTGCGTTCCTGGCTTTAATAAATAAAGCGTGCACCACCGCCACGTCTTCGCGAAGAGTCGTCTGCTTTAATAAGACTTCCTCGTTGTTGTTTTTAAGTTTTGTTTTAATGCTTTGCGAGTTGTATGCGGCGGTGCCAAAATCATTGGCTTGGGAGCTTAACTCTAGCATCCATGCCTTGCGACAAAGCGTAAAAGCATGCTATTCTCTCGTCAGGTGGAGCGACCAATCCTCTTCCCAGTAAACTTCAGCGAATTCAACCTGACTGTGGATCTTATCGCAGTCAGAGAAGCCGCCAATCTTATCAACAGAAAACAAGTAAGGCATTTGTGTTATATACTTCTATCTTTAACATCAGCATTCTTCGACCCCAGTAGGTATTATTATTGGCCGAGTCTACATCCACGCGCGGGGACGTAGCCAAGTCGGGAGGAGATAAGGCTCCATCCACGCAGAAGGTCACGTGACTTATAACATAAAGAGATAATTTGTTTTTATGTGCATATTATGCTTTCTTACAAGTAAATATAAAATCTAAAAATAAAGAGGTTACATTTTATTGTTGTTTTAAAGTTAATATATCACGTGACTTTACAAATTCTTAGACAATTTATTAATGTTTCACTGTTTTCTAACACCGATAGCAAATATCATGCGTCATAAAAATAGTATCCGTAGATGTCTTTATATTTATGTTGTCCAGGAGTCACACACACGTGTGGGCAGCGTGCGTGCCATCCGTGCGTGTGGGCGTGCAGCCTGCAGCCATGTGGTGTGGGCTTGGTTGGCTTGGCGCGGCTGCGGCCTCTGGGGCCTTCGCCCTTGTGCACATCGCTGCCGAGGCGAGGCGGCGAGGCTTCGCCGTGTATGTGATTGGCTTAATTCGTTGAAGGCGTTGTAGTGTGAGCTTATGTGCATCGAAGGGGACAAGTGCGAGCACACGCTTCGTATGTTCTTGACTTGCGCGCACGCTCGCTATCTCACAAAGATTGTGCGAGAAGGGAAAGCATGCATTAGACTCAGTAATAACAAACCTATTGAGAGCATTCAATCGAGAAAACTGGGTAAAAGATTCCAGAAACAGTTTATTTCATGACAAATAAAACAGTAGCCGATGCACAGATGCCACTCATCCACGAGATCACCGATGAACACGAAGCCCTTCTTGCGGCAGAACTCCTGCAGGAGCCAGTTCACTTCTTTGTGCCGATCATTCTACGGCTGGATCACTGCACTCTGCCTACGCTGACACTCCAACGAAAAGAACCTGTTCTCCCAACTCGGAAGAAAAAGCGATCTGCATCGTCGGATTGCGTTCCAAGATCTGAGCGGCCAGCCGACGGTACTTGTCAACGTACGCGCAGGCACAAACGCTGGTGTTGTTTGTGCCCAAATCGAGCAGGGCGTCAGACACTTCGAGAAGCAAAGCCTTGATCCTAATGTTACTAAACACCCGCACTTCGACAGCCACCCGGTTATTCGATGTGAAATACTGGGACAAGTATTTCACCATTGAATCCCCGGCAACCAAAACTGGAGGCATATCAGAAGCGCGACCGTGTGAATACACAAAGTTTTCTTGACCAAGAAAACAATAAAAAAAAAAAAAAAAAAAAAACTTCAGATAAACCCGCTTGGGGTTTGGGGAAGACCAGGCAGGAACAGCAGTCCGCGCACGGCAGGAACGCAAGGAGCAATGGCCACCGAGCACAAGGCAAAACAATGGGAGACAAGACCGTAGGTTGATTGCTGCGTGGACGGAGAGAAGACGGAAAAAGAACTGCTTCCGTCCACGCAAAAAAGTGACGTGGGCGCCGGAAGTGACGTAGTGCGTGGATGGAGCCTTATCTCCTCCCGACATGGCTACATCCCCGCGCGTGGATGTAGACACTCCCATTATTATTTGTAAGTAAGAAAAACAACGTGTTGGAAAATCGCTGCGCAGATTGTTGTTGACGTACTATAGAGATTTGCGCCGTCTTGTACTGCGTTGCTGCGGGACAGACGAGGTTATTGTTGCGGACGTTTAGACTTGTCCTGAACGTTGCGGACGCCACAAACCCGTCTACCGATTTGTCGGGGAACGCCGCTCAGAGATTTCACGCGAAGTGGCCCTTCCTATCGCTCACGTCCGATTGAAACCACATACATTCCCACCAGCCGCTAACCACTCAGAACGGATTTGTTAGGAGATACTTTTCGAAGTACCTATTGAAGAAACAGACGTTCGTATTCTCTCGTCGTGGCGCCGTTCCGTTGCCGACGCTCCTCATGTCACCAGCTTGTCGTCCAGTACGCGTTTTAGCCAAAGATGCCTCCCTTCACCTGTTTCGCGAGACTTCTTCGCCTGCTTCGCATCTCGACCGCGTTGCTGCCGAACTCGCCGTTCTTGGTCCGTTTCGCTGCCCCCCTCCCAACACCCGCCCCCTTGTTGCTTCTTGTCTCTCAAGCCTTACGCAAATGCACGTGTCAATATCCATAGTAACCCTGAGACGTAGGAAAAATTTAAAAAAAAACGCACAGTACACCGAAGTCTCTAACACAGCTGTGTTAGGGACTTCGTTGCACTGTCCGTTTTTTTTTCTTCTACGTCTCAGGGTTACTATGGATATCATTCACCAGCTCGCCTGTGTTTTTTTACCTCTCTGCACGTGTCAAGTTGTTCCGCAATCTCCTGGGCACCTGGCTGTAACCCTTGCATCTTAGCGGCATTATTGCAACATCTGGGTAGGTCCTAGCTTACGGGGTGGACGCGCTGCGGATCACGTGGTATCTCTGCCGCAGCCAATGGCAGCTTCGTTGGTTACAAGCAGAAGGACGGACACGAAAGCATGAATGGTTCTATCAGAATAGCTGCTCCATTTAGGCTACGGTGGCAAAACCATTACCGCACGTTTTGCACAGGAGGGAAACTCAAACGTGCCAATGCGCTCTCGAAGCGAACTCAGCCGTCAAACAATACTACACTTGCCGTTGAAATTCAATTTGCATTGCGCTTTTGATATATAATGACAGATCAGCACAAAATGCCACTTATTCAGCGCAGCTTAGGTAGCGTTTAAAGCAGCTCTATATAAAGCCAACTTTATCCCTCACGAACTCTCTTTTTCTAGATGAGTACGCTCTCTTTCAGTCAGATCCTCCCAACACGTGTCCCTAAGGTGATAATGGCGTTGCAAAACTATGCATAAAGTCCCATGTCCCCTACAATGTTCGCACACTAAAATGCTATTGGGTTTAAAGAAAAACCCGTCTTGAACCTGTTTGTATCCTGTAGTCACTGACAAGATGAGAACGACATTCCGTCTCTTTCGAATACCCTGCCTCCAGCGCCCGCCTGTTGCCTTCCTCCGTGCTTTGGCTGCGCGTGGACTCCAGAGACTGCCGAAACGCTAAAGCAGGTAGAAATTTCGCATGGCGACTGCATAACTGGGGGTCCTCCCTACTGTTATTATGATGTCAGTGATTAATAGCATCGTCTCTAAACCCTTTTAGATCTTCACTGTTAGAGTCTGTTGGAGGGAGTGGAAAGGTTCTTCAGTGCAAAAATTTAGCTATTTGGAGCCAATGCTGAAAAGAGTGTTTTCAGACATGTTTTTAAGGCTCCCATGACGGCAGTCTTCCAGATGTCCAAATATATTCTTCTTGAAGCATAATTTCCACAACTATTACACTTTTAATTACTGTCATGGTTTCTCTGACAAGCCTTCAAAAAGTTATAACTTAGAAGTACGAAAAGCTAAAGGTTGCATCTCAAATCCATCTAGTGGTTTGGAGGTAGCATTCACGACATCATGTCTGCTGAAGAATAGTTGCAAGAAGAGTTAGTATGGTCTAGGATTACGGTTAATTGCGTAATTGCGTATTATTTTCAGGAGATTCACAACCTCCTCAACTTTGGACCTTTAGCGCCCGATGACCCTGTGATCCTGGTTCAGGTACACGACCGCTGGCACTACCTGCAACACCTCCTTGAGAGCCTTTCCAGAGCGCAGGGCATTGAAAGGGCTTTATTAATCATCAGCCATGACTACTATGACAGTCACGTGGATTTGCTGCCTTCTACTATCTCCTTCTGCAAGGTAGATAATTTTTTTCAGATGTAAAGGAACTACGAATTTTTTTTTTATTTTTTACTAATTGCTAGCTGCGCAGAGTAACATAACTGGACAATCACATGAGGGTAAAGAGAAAGTAACTTGACGCCCGCTGGAAATTTCAGATATATATGAGCGGAGAATTTATTTTCATTCTCGCGTTCGGAAAATCTTTGGACTTCACCGTGATCCGCCCGGGTTTATACGGAAGCGGGCCTGACGATTGAATAGGATTGGCTGATTGATCACAAGAACAACGTCAACCGAGTCTTTTTTTAATTTTTGATACTCTTGAAAGTGTCAAATAAGGCACTGAAGCGATGGATAATACCAAATTTGTCATGCAAAGTTCATGAGAAAAATATACTATACAAGCGTTAAAAAAAAGCCGGAGAAGGCTCGAATTTTTAGAGCATACCGCACCAATCTTACTAAAGAATTACGATGTGCTAGGAAGCGCTATTGTGATTCCCTGTTTAAGTCATTGGAAGAGCTTTCGGACCTATTATGAAAAAACCTAAACCTTGTGCTAAATCGTAACCACTTACCGAATACAGTTGAGGAGGTTAACATTAATAAGAAAACATTAACAGACGTCTCCTTAGCTATTACGGTAACTGAGTTCTTCGTTAAACTAGGAAATATTTCACTCAGTCTTAATCCTTGCAGATAAATTGATCAAGGCAATACTAATTCAATATTTCTAGACCAATTCGCTCCCTTTTGAAGTACTTTCACTTATAACGCTGTTAAAAAATGTGGCTTCACTGACGCTCATAATATTCAAATCAGACTGCTGAAGTACGTTATTGACCGTATTGCTCGCTTGCTAAAGCACATTTCAACGTTGCCATTGAAACGAGTGTTGTTCCTAAACACATGCCATTACACAAGGTGCTAGTATTGCATAAAAAGAGAGTGAAAGACGATATTGGAAACTACTGTCCGATCTCAATACTTCCTGTTTTTAAAGGTTTTTGAGAATGTATGCAATCTTTTTTTATCCCATTTTTCCCACAAATACAACTTAGTCAACTCGTCGCAACTCGGTTTCAAAAAATCTTTTAACGGAAGCAGCGCTATTAGTTCGTGAATATAACATGTTAAAACAATTTGAAAATAAAAAAATATATATATTTAGTACTTGGTGTTATTGTGGATTTTACGAAAGCTTTCGATAGCCTAAATTCCAAATTGTTTTTACGGAGACCTAAATGCTATGGTCTTCCTGGAAGTGGGTTGGTGCTTGTTGGCTCGCATTTAAAACACCGAAATCAGTCTGTGCATATGAATAACTGTTTCTCTACAGTCAAGCCGATTATATCAGGTATGCCACAAGGGAGGATACTGGGCCCTTTCCTGTTTGATACACATTTCCACGATATCGCAAATAAAAATAAAACGCTAAACCAAACATTTACGCAGATAATACAAGCGGTTTTTTTTCGTTTTCTTCTTTTTTTTTAGCTGACGAATTAGATTTATTGATGGCCCTCTCCAGGAGGCCTTTATCGGGTTTAGATTTCTGGACTCCGGCTAACTCATTAAGATTAAACATAATCAAAACGAAAGCCATTGATATCCGCCCTAAAAAATGCCTATTACACCTTGAAGAAGACGCCTTTTGAAATTGATAGCTTCAAAAGGCTGCGCGTCATTTTATCAGGAAAACATGGTACACCATGCTCAATATATTGTCACGAAAAATATGTAACGAGGGGAAGTAAAACTGAACAAAGTAAACGTCTATTGGGGCGAGCTTGTGCCCAAATTAAAGGGAAATAACAGCACGTCGGAGGCGTCGAGTGTCGGCGATAAAACAGGGTCGAGCGCATGCGACAACTGATTGTATAATGCCACTCGGGGCTCCTTTAATAGCACTCTCCTTTCTATAGAACACTCTGTACTCGAACATTCCGCACTAGAACATTCTGTTCTAGTGGGGAACTAGAACAGAATGTTTGAGAATGTCGTGGTTAGTTCTAGAACATTTTGGTCTCAAATGTTCTAGAACATTTTGTTCTAAAATGTTCTAGAACAGAATGTTCTAAAACATTCTAGAACATCCAAACAAAATCGTGGTTAGTTCTAGAACATTCTGGTCTAGAACGAACCATGAAAAATCTAGACATTTTGAGAAGGTCGTTCTCAAATTTTCAAGAAGCATCGTCTTGGGAGTAAATAAAAACGTCTGGTGATCCCAGGATTTGAACCCGGGACCTCTGCGTGACTGTCTGGTGCGGTGCCCACTGGGCTACCGCTAGGCAAGCGGATATATAATCCCTAAATTCTCCCGCGTTGTCGGGGTTGTAAAACCCAATCGATCTATTTTACCAACCTCTGAAAAACTAGTAACTATAAATCACTCGGTTATTCGTACCATAACTACTGTCACCTTATCTGGTGCACGACCACGACCGAAAATTTTGAAAAGATATTCCTAGAAAATGATCATAATTATTTCCAACGCTCAACATGATCTAATGCTGGGCTGTTAAAAATAAATACGCTATCATATCGATATAGATTGACCGGAAATTTCAAAAGACAGCTAAAACGAAATTCCCGATTTCTGGCCAATCTTGCGATGATGATCAAAAATGTTGCAGCCTACCTAACTCGTCAAGCTGGATGTTGGGAGATGGGTCCTCATGAAACAAACTACGGAGAGAAAAAAAGGGTTGAATATACTCTACCTTGTTTACTAAAAAGCCTTATTAGTTGCGATTGCACATTGGCTTGCTTACCATAAATGAAGTTCGTCACTTCTGTATACAATAGTCTATCAGTGTCATTACGTTTGTGCATAATGGCGCTGATAGCTTTTTATAGCCTTTCTTTCTCTGCTTTTCTTTTATTGTTTGATGAAAAATAAAGTGATAATAATCTATCAGTACCATTTTTTGATGAAATATAAACTTATGATAGCCTATCAGTGCTCTTATGTTTGTTCATAAGAGTGAAATAAAAAAAGTCGGCAACTTCTGCCCCCCGGGGGGCCGGGTACCTGTCAAATTGTTTTTCAGGGTTTTATTCGGGTTTTCCCCTCTTTTTTTGATGGAACATTAATGTAATAATTGTTATTATTATTAATAGTATTATTATTAATATTTGCATTATTATTATTATTATTACTACAACGCCCATAACCGACTATGTATTTTATACTGTCGGCCAATAGGCGTACGACTATGCTCAACGTTTTTGGTGCAAATAGACGAAAGAACTTACAACTTCAATATTCTGGTCACAAGCTGAAGATGATAGCCCTTCTTAAATTCATTTTATGTTTTCTGTAGCAACTAACCCGTGGTGCTCGTAATAAATGCCTGTCCCATGTCTTATGAGCATAAAGTAAAATGTGTAAACAGTATTATGACTCCCTATAGCTTAAACATTGCACGGGGAGTGTCTCATGTGTTTCGTATTTCAGGCTTTTTTATCGCCTAATCTCGCAATCTCATCGGCTGCGGAGCGATGATAAGACACTCGGGACAACCTGCCAAAATTGAACACACGGGTTCATGTACTTCTTACCTGCGCAGTTGCTAACTGGCACGCGGAAGAAGAGCAGAACCTTTCTTTTTTCTTAATCAAAGAACTCGATTTTTCCTTCAGGTCATGCAAATCTTCTTCCCTTATTCGACTCAACTTTTTCCCAACCAATTCCCTGGACGTGACCCGATGGATTGTGCCCGGGACATCGGCAAAGAAAGGTAAGGGCTTCATTCCGCTTGATCATTTCTCTTCCTTGTCCAAACGTGTGCTGTGTGGAGGCTTACGTAAATGTTCTCGCTTTGCTAACAAAACTACACAACGTTGACGAAATGCAAGCAAAACCGTCTCCGCCAGTCTGTTCGCCTTTACTTTTTTCCGATTAAGGGTGATGGGATGTACCGATCTCACTATACCTGAAACGTCTTCGCACCATCTCTGTGGTATTGCTCTACTTTGTTTCAGTTTAAGTCCCCAGACGCAGCCGACACTGGCATCTACTGAGGTCAAAAAAAAACAGCGTGAAGCGCGCAAGTAATTAGGCTAGCTTTCTTGTAGATAATTGTTCCAGCGACAGATGAACACGCTCATTAAAATTAGGAACACCATTATGGTGCGCTTTTGACGCAGTCTGATAAGTAGCGGAAAGAAAGAAATTATGGCGACCAGGTAATACATTTGATAGAAATACACAAAAGATCATTAACGTTTTAGAATCTCGTATGCCGAGAAATTGCAGTAGAGGAGGAAATGGCTGCGTGCTGGGACGACAGAGAGGGGAGTTCTGATTGGAAGGATAGTGGGTAAACGCAAAGGCTAGCTGCTTTTGACTCTACACACTGTCTCCCTCCAGTCAGAGCTTAGTGGTCTTGACGTCACCACACGCTCTTATTGCAGACTCCCTTTCACTTTCTCCCTGTAATCGCCCATTCTTTTTGTTTTGAAACAAACTTGGTGGCGCCATCTGTTGGGAAATCCCGACCCACTTCCGGTTTCAGCACATTTTCAGAAGATTGCGTGGATATTTGATTTTGAAATTACTTCGAAACACGCCGTCTGGCTTAGATCCGGAACTGTTTGAGGGCTATTTGCACTCTGGCGCCTCGGCGTTTCAACTCACGCGAGAACGAGCGAAAATAGATTTACGAAAAACGTTCCCATGACAAATATCGTTTGTAAATGAAGCGCTGCCAATTACAAGGTATTTAATTATATTTTTTCTCCAGGGCTTTTCAAGTGAAGTGCCTAAACGCCAAGTATTCGGACAGCTACGGCCACTACAGGGAGAGTGAATTTACTCAGATCAAACATCATTGGTGGTGGAAGGTAATCTTTGGAGAGAAGCTCATTACAACTTGTGCCATCTAAAGATAAATTTTGTCGGTTGGTTTTTGACTGATGATATTATACTTTGTTTAACCATAAGTACGAGTGCAGGCGATACGATTGTTCAAGCAGAGACAAATGCGTAACGTCACTAATTTCGTTGTCTTTCTATACTTGTGTTATCATCGACTAATCCAATGAAGCTGAGTACATGAGCCGTACGTGACCCTGTGGTTTTTACTTGTGCCTTCGTGTTTGTACGCCTTCTAGATGTTGGCTGCGCTCAGACGTATGGTGAAACAAAGTATAGCCGCACCATACTTTGGACACCTGCTAGGGGGCCTTGCAGTCTGATGGCCTCGCAGTCGAAGAAAAAGGGACATGAGACGATGTCTTCCCCCGTGTTTTCTTTTTCGAATTTAATGTTTCCTATTTTTTCTCTTATCACAGTCTCGAATTTAGACATCATGATAAACTAGGTGCCTGCGCGCGCTGTCGTTTAAATGCTAGTGGTCGGTTGCAGGTTAAGTGTAAAGTGGAATGAGGTGGGAGGTGGGAGGAGCCTCCACTTTACTCTTAAATTGTCTCCGACTACAGCACGCACGTTTAAGGTTCTGTGGTTCTCTAAACCACTCAGCGTAAATGCGGCTCATGCACTGAACAAGGTTTCAGGTGCCCACATTCACAGCAGTAATAGACGCATGAGTACAAGAAACACGCAATCCTTGTCTGTTAAGGTGGGTTCACACATTCATACCTGGAGCGCTAAATTCACACCAGAAAGAAGCGCTGGTGCAGCGCTGACTCGAACGTGACTTAGCACTGACGCTGCACCGTTACCAGCTTTGTACCATTAATATAACGTGAAATCGGCGTTGCATCAGCAGGGTCAGCGCTTTTACCAGGGGTAACTATATAGTGGTAAGGTAGCACTCTGGTGCAACCGGAAAACAAGCGCCAGGACCCTCGCGTTCTTGTATTTAGCAAAAACGTTTATCTTGGGCAGGAAAATTTCACCCTGAACGAGATAACAACTAAGATAGGGTGATAAGGGGGGCGGAAAACTGGGGGATGGAAAGGGGAGGACGAACCATGAGGCACGGGCAGAACTACAGTGATGGTGTGTTTTTTTCCGGGGAGTTGCGATATTTTTCAAGTCCAGGCCTGATGAATTCTATTTCCCGTCTTGATAAGATTACCGAGGCCGATGAAACGTTGTTTTCTGCGTTCTGGGTGAGAAAGGATTCGCTGATCTCATGTCCGTAGCGATTGCGGTGTCCCCCCTTTGTCTTTGTTCCCGCGAAGTCAGTCGCGCATCCAATACACTCATCCGCGTGAACCGCGATCGGATGAATCAGTTCTTGAAGTGGTTTCATTTTTGTGCTCACGCAAGCGGTTATTTATACATCGGCCGGTTTTTCCTATGTGTGAAATGTATGAAAACGCATTGAGTCTTTTTACACATTGCATAATGAAAGCGATATAATCAATATATATTGCTCCTGAATGTTTCACCTCCAACACAAATCTAAACACTCTTTTCCACCAGATTAACGTCGTCATGGACACTCTTAACGTCACACGGAGCCACCAAGGCCCCATCCTTCTGCTCGAAGAAGACTATTACGTTGCCCCAGACTATCTCTCCGCCGCGCGACTGCTGCTGGATAACAAGCAAAGGTAAAATATAGAGGCAATTACGCGACAACTCTAAAAGTTTTCTGTCCATGAGGAGCAAATCAATCTATACGTTAGGTGGATAGATAAACTCTTAAATACGACGGCTGCAGTTTTTTTTTTCTTGATCTTTTATTTGAAGTGTATTTACCTAATATACAAAACGCTAAGTTTAAGACTTTTACTAGCAATACTACAAAATATTGCAATTCGAGTGAGATAAGTGTATGCACCTTCGGCGGTACTAATGAACGGGAAAATAATATTACTAAATATGTATAGCTACCTTGACCTTTGCCACCAGTCTGATAACCTGTCGGATTATCTCTACACTTCCAAGGTAGGATAGGGACGGCTTAAACTTGGGAGACGAAAAAACGCAAGAAACAGAGATAGAAGAACAAGGTACGAAGTATACTTTCCCACCAAGGCTTGAGCCCATTGAACAGCTTACCCTAGTTCGGAGCATTCCATCTAAGAAATATAATGAAAAAGCCTCCCAGATAATCAATAAAACAATTGACTGCCTCATATTCCACCGGACTCCAAAACCATCAGGTATGAGCTTCAGCTCCACAGTCCAGGAGCTCCGAAGCGAAGATCTAAAACTTTGTGTATCAGATAAAGAGGGAGGTTTTGTCGTTCTTACATAGGGAACGAACGGCGAGAAAGCCTCTCAAGCTGCATCCGAAAACTTTATTCAGTTTGAAAAAAAAAAAAAAACGAGGCAGAATTGCAAAGCAAGCCCTCATAAGCTTGCTTCAAGAGAACCACTTGAACAGCCTATGTGCAAAGATCAAAGGGACAAAAGAGGGACACTTAAAGTTATTCTTTTCAGCTAACACACGCAGGGAGGGTGTACCGTTTTGGGTCATAGTGTCAGAAGGAGGAACATGGCAAGTACATCTGTCAACCTACTTGGCTAGGCAACTGTCTTTAATACAGTGCGATGATCCCTACAAGATTCAAAATTCAGAGCAACTAATTTTACACCTTCAAGAAAAGGGATCGAATGTTGCACAGGCTTTCCGATAGACATCCAAGATATGTATTATTTTACAACCCATGCAAGCATCATCTCGATTCTCCGCAAAACCATAGAAGAGCACAACAGCACGTTGTTCCGAAACGCGGAAGCGATCAACTTGGATACCTTCCTGGAACTGCTCAGTGCATACCTAAAAACGAAAGTCCTTGGCACTCCAAGGCCACCACTTTGTACCAAAAAGTGGTGTACGTAAAGGCTCTCGTGTAGCACCACAACTGTGTGATCTGTTCCTAGCAGCATGTGACAGGACCATTGAGGAAAATATGAATGATAAAAGAATTGCAGCCATCTTCAAGTATGTCGATCAATTCCTAAGTCTTTCAAGAACGGAGGTAGAAGATGAAGACAATGGATGCAAATAAGCCGTTTTACGATGCTTCCGAAAAAGTTGCCCGCAATTTGTATTCACGCATGAACTACCCGTTGATAAGTCCATCAAGTTCTTGGACCTCACATTGGAATTGAATAAAATTTACGTCTGTTGGAAATATGGACGAAGGTCAAGAAAAAAGGTTCCTTTCTTTTGCATCTGGACATTTTAAAACTGTAAAACCAAGTATCGGCCTTAAGCAAATCCTGCAATCATAATATTGGGCGAAGTTTTAACAAGTGAATTTCCGGACTACGTGATTCTGAGTATCTGATTGGCCTCTTGGTTTCCGTGTGTGAAACAATTTGCACAAAACTGAAGCACAAATCAGCTGCTACAGAAGAAAAGAGACAACTAGCAGCGTTCCTTTCGTGCACCGAATTCGTGCAGATTTTTATGGTGTTGTTAACATTGCTACGTCGCTGAAAATATTCTCGTCCTGCGGTGTCGATAATATTGTCACGCGCGTCGGCGAGCAGGCGCGTGCGTGGCCGAGTGGTTACCGCGCTTGACTGTCGCGCGGAAGGTGTAGGTTCGATTCCAGTCAGCGGACTGTCTTTTTATTTATTTTTTCAACTTGGCCTTCTCGTAAGGTCGAGAACGTTCTCGTCTGATCAAGTTCCAAAAGTTCAACGCACCGAAAGTTCTACGCCGAATGATCCAGACACCTACGAGGGTACAGTGCTAATCACACTTGTCTATAACGCGCGAGCGTGCGGCTTTCTCCGGGGAGCGCAGACTGGCGGCATTCGCGGAAACTAAGCTAGTTACGTAGCCCAACATGGAACGGCCCGCTCGAGGAGTGTCCTGCCCACTCTATCAGCTTAATAAGCGATAAAAGTAAAGTACCTTATGATATATTTTTGTTCTTTGATGACGACATGATGGATACGCCTTCATGCTTTAGTTTGTTTATTGTTCGAGCAATGATGCTTGTAAAAAGCATGCGAGCAGCCTTCCACGTTCGCCGCCAACTGATAGAGTGCGCAGGACACCCCTCGAGCGGGCCGTTCCATGTTGCGCCACGTGACTAGCTTAGTTTCCGCGAATGCCACCAGTCTAGCGCTCCCCGGAGAAAGCCGCACGCTCGCGCGATATAGACAAGTGTGATTATAACTGTACATAAGGGACTCCGTAAGGCGAGCGGAGTCAATCTCGCCCCAGCGCTCGATCCTGCGGTTTCGCAGACATCGACGCCCGCGACGCTCCGCAGTTTTCTTCTGTTTTCTTTTTTTTTTTTTTTTTTTGGGGGGGGGCACAAGTTTGTCCCTTTAAACGCTTAGTTTCTTCAGTTATCGTCGCCTCATCATTTGTCATTCCTGACAATATCAACTCCAAAGTATCGCAGAGCAAAATATTCCTCAAGCCTATTTCCAAAAAAATGTTCCAGCAATCATTCGATACGGCTACACTCCAGAGGTTTTGAAAATCGGCAAGGTCATTCTGGTTCACAAAAGCGGTGATAAATCATCTCCTTTTCCACGGTGGAAGAAACACATTTAGGTGATGCCATTCACCGCTCACCCGCGGGGAGCGAGCAAACAGATCGTGTTCGGAGCTAGCCTCGAACCAGGAGTAGTTAGTTCCGCGTCGCCGCGGAGGGCGCGGCGGTATAAGGTCCAGCTTCTCTGCCTAACAAACGACCTGTTCGCTAACCTTGATTCTGGCTTCCCCACTGACGCTGGATTTCTCGATTTGCTAAAGCTTTCTACAAAGTTCCACATGACCGGCTGCTCCTAAAACTCTCGTCATTCAATTTTGTTAATATTATACTCTCCTGGATTGAATATTTTCTCTCCCAAGGTCATCAGTTTGTATATTTTAACGATAATTCATCTGCTTTGGGCCCGTAACATCTGGCGTGCCCCTAAAACGGGTCTTGGTCCATTACTTTTCCTAATCTACATTAACAAGCTTCCTTTTCAGATATCCTCCCCCCTGTGCATATTTGTTGACGGCTGTGTATTTTACCGGAAAATAGCATCCCGTCATGATTCTTTAATACTACAAAATGACCTCGACTTAGTTCATAACTGGTGTATTAACTGGCAGATGACGCTTAACGCCAACAAATTCGAAAGGCATGCACTTTTCTTCTTCCTCTTTACAAACCTCCCCTGCTTTTACCCTCCCCAATAGTATTCCTCTTAAGCCTTCAGGTGTATATACGTATCTCGGTGACTTTTTCACTCAAAACTTCTTATTTGGTAAATTATATTAACTTCGTTGTAATTTCCCCTGACAGAAACTTGGGTTTCCTTCGCCGCAATTTCAAATCCGCCCCTCCTCAAATAAAACGGCTCCTCTATCTTTCCCTAGTGCGGCCTATATGAGAATACGCACCCTTAGTCTGGGACCCCCATCAAGATACTTTCACAGACTGCATTGAATCTGGTCAAAACGACGTTGCACGTTTTATTCGGTACGATTATTAAAGTTTTTCTAGCATCCCTCAATTAAAATCGAATCTTTTTCACCTATTGCTTTTTTTCCGCCAAAAAACTCTTCCGTCCATGCCTTCTGCATAAAGATTTTTATTCGCCATCTCTAAATCCGTTCCTTTTTTCATCTCCGGCTTATTTTTCTTCCACACTCCATCATTGGAATAAAATAGACCGGCAGCAGTGTTCTTCCCCAGCTTACCAGCATGCCCCTCTTCCTGACGGAATTGTGAACTGGAATTACCTTCGCGAAGATATCGTCACCATCCTAGGACCCCATGAAATTTCGAGACGCAGTTTCCATCATTGCACATAACACCCACTCCCCTCTATAGCGCCTTATGACCTTGAGACTATTGTAGAAAAATAAAAAAAAGATGAGTATTCCACCGGCAGCAAAAACAATCTTTTTCAAGCTCCATACTTCTAATTTATCTGTGAAGGTATGTTTGGACTCAAAGGGCATATTTCTTCCTTGGCCCGTAAACTGCCTGCTTTGTAAGCAGCCTGAGACAAATGAACATGCCTTTATTGACTGCTGGGATGCAGTGTTTTTTGGGGACGTGTTACAGATAACTTTTAAAAAGGACTTGTGTATTTCAGCCAAAGGGATTCGTTATCTTCTGGTGGAGGAAAACGACCTTGTATCTTAAGTTACCTTTGTGCTCTTTGGCATGTACACTATTTGGAAGTCCCGCTTGGCTGTCAGGAACGCCGATGTCAGCGCGGAGTTTGTGTGTTATTAGTTTCACGAGATCGTGGCTCGTGTTAACAGCGTTTACCAAACGCGCGAAGAAGCGCCAGAGTGGGGCTCGCAGCTACACGTCCTTCTAGAAATGGAGGTGTGAAAACATACCCAGAAGCACATGGGCCCTGATTTCATTCTTATTACATGAAGCCCAGTAAATATTTCAAGCAATAAAAAAAGTATCTTCTTAGCCCAGTGAGTAGCGTGTCTGGCTGGCAACCTGAGAATCGTGGGGTGGAATCCTGTTTAAATGATTTAAATTTTTTTCTTTGAGGCAACTGAATTACTTTATGAAGTGAACTCGTTTCAGACATGCGGCGACCTTTCATTCGCATCACATGTCATGTTTTATCCACATTCATTCCACGCGTGACGTCACGTTTCACATGAGTGTTGTGGG